GACTAATTGTCCTCACCTCAAGCACAGAGAGCATAATTTTCTAACTTGGCGCCTAATAGGCTGACAAATACAAGCGTGCTCGGGTTCGCAGGAGCAGCACAGATAGCGATCAGGGAAAATTGAGAAGGACACTGTGAGTCAACAGATGACTCAAGTGGAATCTAAAGTGAGTCCGGTTTTATTAGCGGACTCCATCGGCGGCTCGATTATTTCAAACAATGTCGCCGGTGTTAGACCGTCGGGTCGCAGCGTGCTTTCAGATCAGCCGAGGCCAACAAAAACTCAAGAGTGTTTCATGTTTCCAGGGGCCACCACTGCTTCCAGTTGAACTTTATTGGCTTGTAAAAGAAGGTCAAACACCTTTCGCGTCGTGGTAATGAGTTACCATGGATTTCTCCTCAGCAGGAGCGACAACGTCTCCCGGATTACTGTGGAGGTTTTCGAGCTTTGCTCTTAATAACGCAGCGCAGGGAGTGCTGCACAGCGTGACAGTATTGTCCAAGTTTGAAAAAAATAAAATAAAAAAATGCTCAGAGGGGGATCTACTCGGGACACGGTTACGCTGCAATATACATAGATGAGGCTTACAAGCCCCTGCTTAATCCTGCTGTGCAAGTATTGTTGTTATATTTATCGTCTTTCTCAGTCATGCCGCGATGAAACAGTGACAGAGCAGTTGTGAGGCACAAAGCTTTTGTTAATTAGGAAAAAGCAAGCAGTCATTAAAACCAGCTCTGGCTGAAACCTACTGTAAAGAGATTTTAAATCTGATGCTTTTCTGCCTACAGAGTCATCAGATTAAGAAGCTTTCTTTTCTCATTAGAAAGCATTTGAATTGTTCCAGATCTGTGTTATTAGCCATCTTTTGTAGTCCTAGTTGGAATATTTGAGTGAGTGCAAAAGAGCATTGAGATTTTTTTTTTTTTTTTACCATCTAAAAACATATGTAATATTAGAGCAGGGACCTGAAATCTATTACTTCTGCTATTTATAAAATGTATTTCCTCTTCTAAAAAAATAAAAATGAAAGTGGCGTGCTTTCAAATCATTTATCTTCCTTGCACTCTTTAAGGGCAAACAACGTCCCACTAATTTCAGCTGGAAACACTTTAAATGTCAAATACATCTTAAGACAATAAACTACTAAAAACTGCTTTAACCTTTGTCTTATATTTCACAGTGTACATAGAATCACAATTTAAGTTTCTTATGGCACATTTTCTTGTCTGAAACTCATAATATCGCCCACTCTACCAGAAACGATCTTTACCAAGCAAATTACTCCTGCTGACACGCCTTTAGCGCAACACTAACAATTTATGGATCAAAAGGTTGAAAGAAATGTGTCCTCTCTCAAATTGTTTGACCTTAAAATAACAGAGCCTTAATGAATTTGAACTATGTGCTTAAGAGCAAGGAGATGTCATGTCCACTTCTAATAAGACGCATAAAAACACCCCTGAGCACTTTCAGTAACGACAAAACAGATTATCGTCTTTAATTTGAGCCGTTATGGATGAAATCCTGTCATGAATCTCGTGGTGGGCGAGAACCTCCTCTTAACTAGACAATATTTTTTCAAAAAACACAAATAATGTTTCACAAATAGCTGTGGAGTTACAGTAAATATGTTATAGTCTTCATTTTTCTCTCAATGTAACTTTCTACTGATGCCAAGAAGGCATTACTTCAGAATTTGAAGAAAAAGTTTCAATAAATCACAACCTGCGTTTTAAATCTGTAGATTTTGAGCTAGAAATTGTCAAATCAAATGCATCCCACGGTCCTTCAAATTAAATTGGAAATGTTGCATTAGATAAACATTTTGGAGTTATTAGTGTCGTATGGCCATGCTTTCTTACAATCCCCAATCTCTACAGACTGAACATCACTAAAAGTGCTTGTGTTGCCCCCCCCAACAAAATGGCGCCCTTGATGGGAAACTTTACCACCAACATCAAAAACCCCCACTGCTGCTACTATGGGGCAGTAAAAATCCCAACATAAAGGTTAAACATTTACAGGAATTCATCGAGTTTCCTCAGTGCAACAGAACCAGACTAGACTATGAGGTTTCCATTTCAACTTTTGTTTTTTGTTTTTTCCTCTTTCGTGCTTAAGACTTTACTTATATCCGATTGCTCTGTGACAAGTTTTGCCTATTCTAAGTTTTTACTTTTCGCTCAAACAAGGTTCATAGCATTGAAAATGCATTCTTCCCCTGGGAAATGTAATTTTCCTATAGTTTCCATCATCATTTTGTTGTCTTCACCTCTTAGAAAACACTGAAGACGTTTCTACAGTACCAAGTAGAGATTGACTAATCAGGCTATTTCTATTCCTATTTCTGTCACTGAGGTTTGACCTGATGGTTAATTTTTTTTTTCTTCTGAAGACTGCACCACAGAGAAGAAGAGGAAATGAAATATGTGCTGCAGGTTCTTTGATAGAGGCAACAGATTTGAATCTCAAAGAAATGAAGAAATTAAAAGATTATCCTCATTCATACATCAAAGCACGTGTCTCTAACCTTTATCTCATTTTTATTAAACTAAAAAGAAGCTTCAAAGTGCACACTCGTGCTGCCGTGCATCTACAGACTGGGAGTGGTGGGAATTTATTTGTACCGATAATAACCTAATTGATTCAGATGACCTCGAACGAGATGATACTTGCATTGGGAACGTGTTATTCTTCACATCTATGAATTATGTCTGTTCCTGTTAAATAAACCTAAAAAAAAAAAACCCACAAAATATCTGCTATTATATAACAATACTCCAATTGCTCTCATCTTCTCTCTCAGCTCTGCCGACTGACAGCTGCGGCTGCCAGACACAAAGGAAGCCCTGGCAACTAAAATACAGAGTAGGCTGAAAAACGCCAAAATCATTTTCACCACCGACACAGCTAATGCTCGGAGCGAGTCCAACTCCGGGGTCCAAATCCCAGGTTGTAATTCATTTGACATGTCTGTCTGGGTTGTGCATGATAATGTGCACTGCTACCTGCCAGAGCCCTGCCTGCACAGAGGGGCCATTCATATGCACACAGGCCTTGTTTTGTTGAGTAAAGCCTTTTACAATGTAAACAGTAATGCGTTACAAAACATATCACTGTTTGCCAGCCATATGTCTTGCCCCCCTGTCTGCAGCATCGGTTGGAGTAAACTTTGGATTAGCCCCCAAAAGCATAGGGATTATTTTGGTGGGGATGAAACGTTTCGTAATCTGCCGTTGGTCGGGTGGGTCTCGATGAAATCTCACTACAAATGAAATCACTTTACTGTGGTAAGCTGTTATGTTACAACCACAACTCGCAATGTTTTATTGCGCGTTTATGTAGCAGACCATCACAGAGTAGTGTGCAATTGTGAAGTGAAAGGAAAATGATGCGTGCAATCTGAAAGGTGTGGTGTGTGCGTTCGTATTCAGTCTAAGCTGCACTGCGGACTTTCACTGGAGTTTGTAGCTGCACGTGTTTTGGGGTGCGTCTCCACCAGCCTTGCACATCTAAAATACATTTTCGCCTGTTCTTCATTCCACAGTGGCATTGCTCTATGTTTGCTTGATCAAGTTAACTTTGATGAACATTTTTATGCTACAAAACAGCATGACCTCAGCGTGATGCTGCCACCTCCATGTTTCACTGCGGGGAAAGTGTGTTTTATTAGCGAAAAAGTTTCATTTTGTTCTCTTCCTTAAAGACATTACCATGTGCGTGGTACTTCCAAGAAGAGTCCTTGACAAATTTTCCAGCTGTGCTTATTTACTGCCACTTTGAGCTTTTTTTTTACTTCAGTTTTTGCATATGTACATGCATATTCAGTTTATGCATAAGCTGAATATGCATTCAATTTAAACATAAACTGAATGTAAATATAGAATTTCTCACTTTTTGATATTTAAAATCTTAACCTGTAATAATGCCGACATATACAAAGGAAAAAGTAAATATTGAAATCATGTCTTTATGCATTTACTCAGTTTATTATTAAATTCCCATACAAAATTTGGTAATGTAATAATAATAATAATAATGCTATATTCCAGGTATCTGGGAAGTCAGAATTAACTGAATTCACTTCAAACCCAAGGTGACACCTTTACAAGTTAAGAAGCTGGGATTTCAATATGGTAGTGCCTATACATGTGGTTTGCAGTACGTCTAATAAACATTATTTTAAGATCTAGTTTCTATAGGAAAAGACAACTTTTAATTTGTGCAGTTTAGAGATGCAAAACATGTTTCCACCTTTAGTGTAAGGAATGACCATACTGAAATGCAATGTCGGCCTTTTAGGAAGAAATTATAGAGTTTAATGCTCAACTCTCAAGTTAACAGTGGGTTTTAAAAAAAAAATTATTACTACTATTTAAAACATTTAAGAATTGGAGAAAACATTTTTGGCACATTTGGAATCCCATACAATAATATAAGTTGAGTTTTTAATAGGTTCAAAGGGTATGCATGCTTTCAAAGGCACTGCAGTTTTATGACCCAGAAACTCACGGTTTGGCCGCTTTTTGTTGCTGATTAGTTGGTTGTAAGACAAAGATTCTGAGTGTAAGGGACACGGGTAAAACATGGAGCTGACTTTCAACATGAATTACTGACATTTAGCACACAGCAGTGCAGTTTTCATCAGAAGCCGAGTAAACTGAGCAAACATGACGGTTCACACACTCCCACCCAAGACAGCTGCGAGCTGTCTTTATCAACATGATGTCTGAATCAAAGTGTTGACCGTTACTTCCGTTAAACATGGCGTTCGTCACGTTCCAAACAGCCGTTAACCACGCTGATAGACTAGATTTCGCTCACTAAATACTGAACTCCTCCTTTATCGAACCCTTATTTACACCACTCTTGTGTTGTTAGAGGCCAGGCCTGTGATGACAGAAGTTTTACGGGTAATGTTGCTGCTGTTTGGTGGGAGACGTTTCATTAAAAACCTGCGGAGCGTTAAGATCACAGCGGGGCCGCCGGACAGCACTCACCTTGGGTCAGACGCAGAAGTTGACAAGCTTTAATCTCAACAGGGTCGCTCAGCTCTTCACATCCTTGTCGCTTCACAACATGCTTCTCAGATTTTTGTTGGGTATCCGCTATAAATAAAAAAAAGTCCAATTCTCACTGCCCTTTTGCTGTTCTGTAACCGTAAAGCCACCAGGCGCAAGATTTGTGAATTATTAAAATAGTGTTTTCTTCTCTCGTAGGCTGTGAGATCAGTTACAGGTTTGCTGCTGTTCGTGTAATCGGAGTCTTTCTCCTCTTCGTAAAAAAAAAAAAGTTTCAAACTTGAGGGGGGACTTGGTTACTCAGCAGATTGATGTTGGATTGGGCCAATAGACGAGCTACCAGAGGAGTGGGCAAACCCAGTCAGGCCAAAAAAGAAAAAGACCATTTAGAATCAGCGTCCGCCCCCCTCCTTCCCATTAGCGTTTCCAGTAATTATCCTTGTCCAGGTCCCAGTCCCACGGCTCCAAATTTCCCAGAGGAAATGGTACTGAGGGAACAATGAACAGGAACTGTGTGGAGCAGCCGTTCTCTCATCACTAAATTTATGGCTCGTTAAGTTTTATGGCACACTTTGACATAAGTTAAATCAACATTTGCGATTTTCATGCACAATGTCTAATGAGAACATGCTTGTCAGCTGATACGGATGAAGAAAAAAGTCATGAGCGGATGTTTGCAAGACTGATGATTCCCCCCCCCCCCCCATCACATTAAAGAGGTTGGGGAAATACCCAATGTTTGTTATCCTTGTTTAACCCCTTTTTTCCCCACATGCCTTACAAACTTGCATACCACTTAGTTTCATCTTAAACACGTAAGACTCTCGTTAGAACAGAAACACTAGAACATGAACGGTATAAATCATACTGAACCACTACAGCAAGTTTGTGTGAAATGTAAGAGCTCGAGCGCCCTCTGGTGGTATAATGTATACAGCTATATGTGCTATAACATACAGCATGTTGGCTATATTAACTCTATTAACCTATGGTTGAGGAGCTTAATTTGGGGTATTTAGAGAGTTAGAGAGATTTGCTAACATAAATTATCCTTGTTTTAGATGATAACACTGATCAAAACACACATTTGGAAAAGGAAGGGATTTTTAGGCAAGAATTCTGTGTTTATTTTCTGGAAAATACATTTCCCAGAATCCTCGGTCGAACGCAGGAAGAGACGTGTTTTTGCGACGTGTCAGGAAGTTTCAGTAGTCAACATGGCGGCTCAGCAGGGAGATGTTGATGAGCTATTCGATGTAAAAAATGCTTATTATATTGGCAGTTATCAACAATGTATTAACGAGGCTCAGAAGGTGAAGGTATGTACTTAATCTTGACACTTAAACATGTTCGCATCTGTTTAATTTGGTGCTCGTTTTCGTTTGGCTAACAGTCGCTATGCTAATAAACGAGCTAATATTGGTATTTATGATTTCTCCAAACATTTGCCTGAATGACTTTTTCCACTTTAATCTCCAATTTTTTTTAAGCCGTCATCACCCGAAAAGGAGATTGAAAGAGACATGTTTTTGTACAGAGCGTACATCGCTCAGGTAAGAAGTGACAGATTTCTGCTACTCAATGTTTTTTTTTTAGCCGTTCATAAACTTATCGCGAGTTTATTCTGGTGAATATAAGCCTTGTCCACACCCTGAACTGTGAGTTTCTGTGTATTAACAGAGGAAGTATGGTGTTGTTCTGGACGATATCAAGGCCAACTCTTCAGCTGAGCTCCAAGCCGTAAGGATGTTTGCAGAGTTTCTGTCCAATGAGAGTAAAAGGTAAAAGCTTGCATTTGACATTCACGTCAACGAGTCCGTGGTTATAAATTATATAGATGTGTGTGTGTGTTAACATTTCTTAGTTGACAATCTCTTACCTCTCAAAAAGCTCAATAATTCCATTACTAATGTTTTTTGAGAAAATATACAGAACCATTGCTTTCTGCATATTTAAATGTATTTAGCTTTATTACCCCTCCTTTTTTCTTAAGTAAGTTAAACTTGTATGTACACTTGTACACTTTTGCTCTGAACTTTCCATGCACCATACGTTTGCAGTGCGTCTGGTAGGAATGGAGATGGAATTTGATACTATTAATGCACAACAAATTCCTAGTAATTACTAGATTTTTCCGCTTTTATTAATGTGTTTTATCATTGTCTCTAATGAGCTTTCTCTCATAAGCAATCAAACTTAACCTATTATACATTTGACCTAGTTTTTGCTAAATTTTCTATTCAAGTTGACTTTACAAATGCATTTTAAGCCTAATAAATTGTAGTGGTTGTTAGCTTTAGCTTGATACCCAGTTTTGATGCTAACAGACGCAAAAAAAACAACAAAACAAAACCAAAGATTTCCATCAAAACTTTCTCCTCTTTGCTTTTGCTCAGGGATGCTATTGTTGTTGATTTGGACAAGAAGATGGCGAAGAGTGTGGATGCAGCCAACACCACCTTCCTGCTCATGGCTGCCTCCATCTATTACCATGAGATGAACGCGGACGCTGCGCTCAGAACTCTGCACCAAGGAGAAAGTCTGGAGTGGTGAGGGCAAATCAAAAGAAGCACTTTACTTGTTGGTTCAATGTTAGAAAATAACAATTGATCTCCACCGAAAATATCAAGCAGTACCAGTTTGGCTTTAGTGTTATCCATAAAGATTATTGAGTTTCTCTCTAAAAGGCCACTTTATGGATTCGTGTAATACAATTTGCTACAAATGCATGCCAGTTTCTTGTTGGCATTTAGGTTATTATGACGAATATGAATACTGTATGTAAAAATCTGCTTTAGCATCAATGAGTTTCTTTGTTTTGCGCACCAAAGTTTGTTAACGTTGTTCTTTTTTATGGAATGGATCAAACTGAACCTAAATCTGAATTTATTTGCAGCATGGCCATGACCATTCAGGTGCTTCTCAGTCTGGACCGTGTTGACCTGGCAAGGTTCGTAGTTGTAGTTTGACATCCTGTAAACTTAAAGAAATATAAACAAGAGGTCTTGCAATGTAGTTGATGATGAACTTTGTTTTGATGACCTGAAAGAATAACTATAAAAAAAAAAAAAAAAAGATAAAGAAGATAATCTTGTATTTTAATTTTAAATCTCAATTTCTAGCAGCTATTGGTAATTATTGGTTGTGAATATTCTCTAATCTAGTGAAATTTCCTCAACAGGAAGGAACTGAAGAAGATGCAGGAGCAGGATGAGGACGCCACACTGACCCAGCTGGCCACAGCCTGGGTTAACATTGCTGTGGTGAGGAGAAAAAAAAAAAAACAAACAAAAAAACACCAGTTAATTTTATAACATCAGCAGCATAGGCAAAATTCATATTTGCAAACAACTGAAGTCTTCTTTAATGAGCTATCAGCTTTTATGTTGTGTCTGATTAAGTTTTTGGCAAACACTCGCTTGTTATTTCAGGGTGGAGAGAAGCTTCAGGACGCCTATTACATCTTCCAGGAGATGTCTGATAAGTACTCGTCTACGCTGTTGCTGCTGAACGGCCAGGCTGCCTGCTACATGGCTCAGAACAAGTGGGAGGAGGCAGAAGGAGTGCTGCAGGAGGCTCTCGACAAGGTCAGACAACAGTTTGTTTTCTTTTTTTCTTGCTAGTCAAACTGATTGTTTTATGTACTGAACATTGTTGTGTGAACATGAGTCTTTAGTGAAAGCCTGCTGAAGCAGAAGGTGGCATCTTTGTTCAAGAGATGCCACCTTGAACAAAGATGTTCAAGGTGGCAAACCGTTGATATTCTTTGAACTGTTTTATGATTGCATTTTCTTTTGTGGAAAGTATCGGATCTAATTTTGAATTGTGCAGCCTTTTGGAGATTTGACCAAAAATGTTTCAGAAGTAGGGAGCAATCACACTTTTACTTCTTTAATTGAAACAATAGTTTTTATTTATATCTTCTCTCATTGTTTTCAAGATAGACAACTTTACTTTTTAAGCTTATGTAAAGATCTTTTGCAGGATTTTTGCAAGATCTTAAAATTATATAGGTCTTGATTTTGAATGGTTGCAACTAGGTAGATCTTAAATTACACATTTGTTCATACATCTTTTCTATAATTTGTATGCATCTTTTAGTGCTGATTGGGTTAATATGTTAGGAATTTGGGTGTTATTACTTGACTGTCCTAACTATTTGATGCCTAACTATCTGAAAGTTGCTAGATTGTAGCCCTCGAGGACTCAACTTGGTGTTAGGTGCTGAAGTTAGGAAATGGGTCCAAAAGATAAAGGTCTTTTAAAATGTGTCAGATTTAACCCACTCTCACTTCCAGAAACATGTTTCCATTTGTTAGATTTAAAAATGTCACATTGTGTTTCTTCTTCTTAGAAAATGTAATGTAAAAATGGAAATGTTGTTCTCAAGCTCAAAGTGCTGACATCCTGAACGGAGTGTAATTTTCTCTCGACACTGTGAGGAGATGAAGTGTTCCTAAATTTAAAAACTATCCATGCATCAGATTGTGTTTACGTTTCAAGTGAGGCTGCAGAGGCAGCAGTTTTACCTCCAGGTATTGTTTTAATGACAGGGGCTGTAACACTGTGCAAAAATCCAGCAGGCTTTGGTTGCTTTCAAATTACCTCTACAGACAAAATATTACGTGCAAATTATTGTGATCCCATAGACTTGCCAGTTAACTTGATAAGTAGTGTTGCTTGGATAGAATAGCGTTTGGTGCAATTGCAGAATGTGTTTCTCTAAGCAGCCTCTATAATAACAACTGTGTTGTGTCTGCCTTCTGAGTGTCTGTACACATCTAAAGTAAACATTAAATAACCCTCATCAGTCAGATTTGTTAGCTTTCTTTCTATTACTGTGTCAGTGCTTCATAAATATAAATAAAATGCATTTTTTGTCATTTACCAGCAGATGGCAGCAAATGCATTTATTTTAAACGATCATGCAAAAAAAAAAAAAAAAAGGGTTACTCTATGGTACAGTAATTTCTTACTTGATCTGTAAACGTGTTAGGTCTTACCAAAAATCTGTTTCATAATTTTAAGCTGATGCACCTGTCCACTTTTAATATTCACACCTTAGCAGCTTAGCAACAGGACTTCGTGTTTACTAGTCACATTTCAGCGATGTGAAAAGGTTAAATTTTTACCAAGTGACAGTTTTTTTATTGATGTTATCTCTCACCTAACGGGCAGAACTTAACAAGGGTATGATGTGGCTTTCAGTTTTGCATGGCTGAAAAAGGCAGCATTTTATAGTTTACTGATTAATTCGGAGATGTCTTTTGTGCCGCTTCTACCTGCGTTTGTTTGCAACTCACTTTGTATTTTATTTTATCCCTATTAGGACAGCAGCCATCCTGAGACGCTGATCAACCTCATAGTGCTGACGCAGCACCTGGGCAAACCACCGGAGGTGAGACCAAAGTTCATAGAGGTCTCTGCAAGGACAGCCGTCAGCTGGGACAAATCTATAAAGAACACCCAGACATTTTTGTGACCCTTCATGCCTAAATGAAATGTGCACATTTAAGCAATGTCCTGTTTGCTTTGATTAAGTCAGAACATTGCTTACTGCTAACATCTTGTACCAATCACTTAGGCGTATCTGCTGTTCAGTGGTGTGAGAGTCAGAGTTCATAAGATAAAAGGGAGAATAATCTGACTTACTTTTGCTGGGCGTGATTGCAGCGTGCTAGAACGGTGACTGTTATCACGGAGACATCATTAACATGTCTGCAGTTGCAAAAACGACTAATAATTACACCTCCCTCAAGGTTAACTTGGAGACAATTTCTTAGCGAATTGGAAGGAAAGGGGAAAGGTAATTAGAGAAAATGTGTTAAGTCTACTGATCATTAAGGTTTTTAATGTTAAAATTGTTGGTTTGGTCACACAGAGCCCAAGTAATTATCAGCTATACAGCTTGCATTAGTTTTAGGACACAGTTTGTCTTAAAGAATAGCAAGAAGCAACTACGGTGCTGCAGAATATACATTTTCCTATGCAGATTATTATTTGCGTTAGGTTTAGAGTCTAAATTTTACAAAATTCTGTTCAGTGGACAGTGTTGGCAACAGAGCCTCTTCTACTTCAGGCTTGTAGAAGGGCAGAAGCTGGCATGCAAATGTCTCTGGCTATTGGTAATACTTTGCTTAAGGCTCCTCCTGGTTAATAATCCTTCGTACCGACACCAAGCATTGTGTGTTTGTGTTTTCACAGGTCACCAATCGGTATCTCTCCCAGCTGAAAGATGCACACAAAGCTCACCCATTCCTCAAAGATTATTTTGCCAAGGTAACAGCTGGATTATGCACTTAGAGAAAGATACTTATCCACTTACACTTTAAGTGAGAATCTCTGCCATGCTTTCTCAACTTCCCTGTTTTGTAATAGTTACAGAACTGTTTGTTGTGCTAAGTTGGCAGCAAGTATCCTTGGATCTAAGCCGAGCAGGGTATTAAACCTTCACCCTCTACTGTCACTTTGTGTTGCAATCACATACATAAACATACATAAACATGCTTGAAATAGGTTAACAACCTGACTGATACAGACGTGCCAGTTTAATAACTAGAGTTTGGTGTTTCTGGTGTCTCACTATTTTGTTTTTTTGTTTTTTTGTTGTTGTTTTTTGCAGGAGAATGAGTTTGACAGACTAGCAATGCAGTACGCCCCCACCGTTACGGCATAGACCTTCTGTTTTCCTACAAAATTCCTTCAAAAGTGGACTTTTGGGGGTATGACCATGAAGATAACCCTGTTTCTCCCTGTCATGTGTTTGGGTTTGATGGGGTTTTTTCCCCTTTAAAACCTTGGCTGTATTTAAACCGCACTAGAAATTCATATATATATCTGCATTTCTCCTCAGGCCCTACACATTTACATTTATTGTAGGGATAGCCGCATTTGTTATACAAGCATTCCTTTGAAATGTTAATAAATGATTGGAAAAAACACTGAGCGGTTGTGTTGATATGGGTAAAAATCTACTTGAATAAATCGAATTTGAAATATTTAATTTGTCATTTTGGACGTACAGATAGTACAGCTTGTTGAATCAGAAAATGGGTGGACATTCTTATAAGGAATGTGTATTTTAAGAGTTTTTCTTTCATTTTAATTATGACCTGCTGCAAATAAAGACACAATTAAGCTTCTTAGAAGACGAGGATATAACCATGAATAAATAACAGCTACTGGAAAAGTAGCTCTCGGTGCTTGGTTGGGTTCTCCTTACGTCGATTACATCAGATTATCTGCATTGTTGGGTCTGGTGTCTCACCTTCAGTCAGGTTTTTTGGCCACACAAGCACAGTGATACCAGGGTTATTAAAGCAGGTATTTAGTACTGCTGGCAGTGTGGACAGGTGTAAAGTCCTGCAGTATAATTAGATGATCGCTATTACGCTAATTTTTAAAGTGCTTTCACGTGTCCAGCTGTTCAGATGCACTGAGTGGATTTGATTTTCAAATTAAATCCAAAATACACAAGACAAAGGTAAAAGGTAAAGGTAATTTTATTTATATAGCACATTTTCAGCGACAAGGCAATACAAAGTGCTTTACACAAATTAAAAGGAAATACAAACAAAATAACAAACCAAAGGAAAGAGCAAAAGAAGAAAAATAATGTTGATCTATCCAAAGTACATAAACTAGATACTCCTATTCAGGGTTGGTAGATAAGTAAGTATCCTCTGGACTTTCTAAGTATGCTCTAAATTTGTAAAAGTAACGAGTAGTCCTCAGTTTCTAAGTAATTAAATGTTCCTGTTCTGGAAGATTTTTTTTTTTCTGGATTCTAAGTTTGTTCTAATTCATTTTCTGGGTTGCAATAATGGGAGTCTCTCTGCATAATAATCTAAAAATTAATCTAAGTATAATATTGGTCTAAATAGTGAGTATTCCACAGTTTCTAAAATATAAGCTAAAGTGTGACTAATAAACTAGAGTCTCTGGTTTCCAAGTTTGTTCTAATTCCTTTTCTGGGTTAAAAGTGAGTACTCCACAGTTTCTAACAAAATGAAATAAAGAGGAAAAGACACATTAGGGCACATGGCAACATTCAGGCAAAACAAAGGATAAAATAAAGGCATGGGTGAAGGCGGTGACTGAACAGAAATCTTCATTTATAATTTGTGTCTAATGAATGCATATAGTATGATTTAATTATTATTGTGTAATTAAATGACCATATTCGCTGTACCTGTATGTCAGTGGTGTCCAAACTTTTTGCCATAATGGCCAAAATCCTGAAGTTGAAACCACAAGGGGCCAGAGAAAATTTATATTTTATAGCTTTTTAAAAAGAGACTTTGTTACTTTTTTCATTCTTATCTGCTCAGTAAACACACACACACACAATATATATATATATATATATATATATATATATATATATATATATATATATATAAATTGATTTATAATAATTTAAATCAACAAAATAGTGTGATTTTTGTATAAAAGGCTTAGTAAATCTTTGTACAGGGAAAAAGAAAAAGGTTTTGTAAGATAAGACAAGCCCACAGTTTCTACATGATTTATTTTTCTTATTTGTGCTGCAAGATTTGCTTTTGAGTAATAACAGATCAATAACTGTGATTCAAGTTACTCAAAGATTAATGTGAACGCAAAAAAAACTAATAAATGAAAATATTTTATTATTTCTTTGAAGATTATGTTATTTATCTGTAAATAAAATGTTGCCCTAAAAGGTGAAAAAGTGTCTGTCTGCCTCAACCTTGCAGGTCAGGGGTCCAAAGTCCTCCAGAGGGTCACAAATGGCCCCCGGGCCGCACTTTCGACACCCCTGTCGTATGTGTCGCTGTTCGGGTTTCTCTGCGCTGTCACTTTAAACCATCATTCGGTTCCTCAGTGGTCTAAGTAGAGAGTTCATAAAGAAGATAACGGGCCAGAAATACGTCACGCCTTTACGCTAGTTTTTTTTTTTTTTTTTTTTGTCATAAACGCAGCTGAGCCATAAACGCAGACTGCCCTCCTTTCTTTGAACGCACCAGTTGATCTCCGCTGTGGAGCTGAGAGCGCCTCGTCAAAACCCAGCGTCGGACACGTTGACCAGCGCCGCATAAAGAGAAGGAGAAGAAGAAACGACGCATGCCTTCATATACCGGATTATATGTCAGTCTGATTTCTATTTTCACCGGAATAACTTGCCCGTGCCTCCGAGCGGTCGCGCTCCCTCATGAAACGGCACAGGATCGTTATATAAGGCGGATAGCGGTCCGAGATGAGAGCGCGTCTCTGACAGCGTAGCGGCAACAATAGTGTGGCCGGGCTGCGTGCCCCCGTGTCTGCGCTCGGCTTAAAGGCCAATTTATTCACCCGCTAATGTCCCGCTAACACCGGGGAAGCTGCTTCCTCCTCTGCGTTGTCCGTTTGATTTATTGTAAGCTAGGCGGCTAACCTGCCGCAGATGAGCCGCGTGCGTAGCGGAATGATGAGCGGGATGAACCACCAAGCTGCCGCAGATGGGTCAAATTAACTCCAAGAAACCCTTCCTGTAATTTGGCGTGGTTATAATTTCTATTTAAATTTTAATCACCGCCTTTGGTTTGATCTGGCCCCGGAGATTTTTCCAATAAAAGAGCAAAGAATGGGCCTATGTCTTAATTTGGGAAACAAAAAATTAGGCGCCTAAAGAGGGGATAAGCTTGTTAGATAAGCTTGCTCTGGGTGCTTTATTGAGCCAACAAGCCTAGTGAGCGGTCAGTCTGGACTCCCTCTGCTCCTCTGCTGGAGGCATCTCTCCGGGTTTTTACCTTCTCTGTTGTCACAGCGATGGGCAGCGCTGGGCCGGTGGAGGTCGAGCCCATGCCGGGGTACTGGGAGCTCATCACCAGAGGCTCTAGCGCCATGCTGGGCGCATGGAGGGACTGTAGCCACTGCGGTCTGGAGTTCTCCAAACGGACCCTCCTGGATAACGCATACATCACCTGGACCGAAATCGCCCTCTTTTTCTTTTGCGCCTTTTTGTGGACGATAATCAGGAAGAGACTGACAGAAAGCCTGTTTAAGGTAGGTGAAAACCTCCCTCACCCTAAATATACACCCACACACATACACGCTCCTTCCTCTAAGGCGCATTGCTTCCAAGATGCCAAGAAAAACACGATCGAGAGGAGGCAGTGCTTGTCAGACAGGTGCGACACATGTTCACACACACAGCCGGAAAGACAGAGCTTACCCTCTCCCCAGAGAGCTTAACCATAATGTCAGAAAATATTAACCTGACTCGCACAGACGTTCAAAAAGCACAGCTGCTGCATTCACAGTCTGCTCTTACTCTCTAGTTTGGGTACTGTGAGTCATTCAAGATGGTCGGTTCAAGCTGGGCATGGAAGTGTGTGCCCACGTGTAGCTGCAGTGCACATTCTCTGATCATGCATGTGTGAGAAAAAGGTCTCACACTTGTTATTGTGGGCCCACCCACGGCAGGAAACGCTGGTCATATTTACTCCTGTGCTGTACAAATGTGAATCATATTGAAGTTTTAAGGCCTTATGTGCGCCGTGCAATAACGTTCACAAATGTTCACACTTAATTTCCCCATTTTGTCATGTTGCAACAGATGCTTCAATGAGTCTTCTGAGTTGAACCTGGGTCTGGGCTTGACTGGCCCAGTTGAGGTCAACAATAGTTTGTTTGATTCAAGTTCTTCATAATATTTTAGACGTGTCCTTTTCACACCTGATTCACCTGACTGCATTATTGATAGCAAGTGTTCATGGTATCAAGAATGTTAATTATCCATTCATATGCATCAGGTGTGTGGCAGCGGGGGAACACCTAAAAGTGGAAGACGCTGATGATCTAAAACACTTTGACTGTTTGTTCAGGGTGCTGATTCTGCTAATTGTTTTTAACCATGGGTCTTTATGTTTTATAATTTTCTAGCTTTTGTTCGTTTTGGGTTTGTTTTAATTTTGCAAATTAGTGCTTAAATGGTGTTTTGCTAATAGTTCACTCTTTTGCTTTGACACTCTTTTGTGTTGGTCTGCAGTTGTTGATTTAGTAGATCCATGCGGGTCCTGTTCAGATCCCTTGTCTTCCATTTTTTCCTCGGTTTTGACCCTGATTGTCACCTCTCAGCTGCACCATATTCTGTTGATTGTACTCTCCTGGGTCTCACATCTCTGATTACCTTACCAGCTACATCATTTCCTCCATTCCCTGCCAGATCCTTGCGATGTCAGCGAAACAATGTCAACAATGTCCGCTGTTCTTCCTGATGTTGTGCTCCTGTTGTGGTTTTGCCAATTTGGAACTTCTTTGACGTTTCTCATTACTTTTAATTTTCAGTGTGCTCCTGCCTATGTCCTGTCTGTATTCAGGTGCTACATCTACACCTCAAACGTCACAGCCGGAAGACGATCCTCCACTCTAGTGTCAAATCTTTTGCAGCCTCTAATCGATTATTTAAGGAATGCTCTGTATTTAACTCCATCCATCTTAACCATCTTTCTTTCCCTGAATCTGCAACACGATTGTCCCCACAGCACAATACTGCCACCACCATAGTTCACAGTGTTCAGGGAGACGTGCTGTGTTAGGTTCCACAATATATTGAATGCTCGCTAAAAAATCTAATCTTAGTCCACATTTGTTTGCCACAATGGCAACAGACAATTTCTTCCACCTGAGCTTTGGATTTCTGCAACTACTAATTAGGTTAGTTCTGAAAGCGTTTGGTTGTGTAGGATTTTATTTAAGATTATCAAAGTATTTCCTTAATGTTATAAGATTGGTGATCGGCTGATCTTGTCCCCCAGTCTTATCTGCCTCAGCAAAAGGACTAAAAATCACCTTTTGTCCTCTTCTGCTTTCCAGTGAGAGAGGTTTGACTGATGGACTGGCCCACCAGGTCATGTCTGCACATTTGCAGTTAACAATAGTCACCCCACTTTTACCAACTCAGCGACTTTCTTGCTATATTTAGCAACATTTCAGACAAAACAAAATTACTATCGGCCAAAATCTGAATTGGCAGGTCAGGCTTTTTAAAGATCGGCGATCGGCCAGGAAACTATCGGTGCAGCCCAACTAGACTAGCTACACTTTTTAGGTTTTACTCTTAAAATAATGAAAACACAGAGTGTTGAGCTATTACATAAAATTTCAAAGTACTTTGAAATACAATCTTGAAAAAACTCCAAGGAGTATAAATATGATTGCAAATCACAACAACACTTTTACTATTTCTTCTGTCATGCACTTTTACAACCAATCAGCAATAGTCTCAGTAAATATAAAAAACAAATATTATTTTATGTCAAAGGATACAGTAATCATCATCATGAAGATAAGTTATAAGAACTCTTTTCTTACTCTCTTTGCATTGTGGTCACCTGAAAGCATGCTGAGGTCAGATAGTTTAAAATGTCAGAAACAGAGACCTACATTTAGTTTTGAATTGGTACAGCACTTTTTGTGGTCATTTGTTGGAGGTAAATCTGCTGATTTTTAGCAGTCACCAGAAAATTATCTACCTCAGCAATCAAAGTATCCCTTTCATGCTATAAAAAGATCAAACACCATCTTTAGAGAAATAACATGGCGCTGCTGGAAAACTATGGTGTGCCTGGAGATGTACGCTTACAGAGCCACAACAACTCTTAAAGCAGCAATCTCACCCCATTTTGTCTAGTAGACACTCAGGCTGTCCTCTGACAGAACTGGACCTCTGCCCAGATCTTCTATATTCTGCTCTTCACCCATCCAAGGCCCCGGGACCCTCCCTCCTCCTTCTGCTGTTAGTTTATGCCAAGGAAGGTTCCTCTCTGCACAGAAATCCTGGATGTGGCACCTTATTCTGAGATATAGATGGTAGAGAGCATCAGGCAGGATCTCTCAGGGCAGATCCAGACTGAAAAAACTCTGAATGAGGCCTGCTTTATCTTTTGCAGTATGTAATCATGTCTTACCAGCACCCTTATGATATTATCAGACTGATTGGTAATTAGTGCCTGAACTCCCTGTTATTGAGTTCATGTCAAATCCAACTGGAGAGGGCGAATGTTAGGGATGAGGCGGGTGGTTTCAGAGTAGGTCAGCCATGCAGAGCTAATTCAGTTACAGTATTATTGTTATACATTATAAAACCAAAGTGAGTTGTCAGAGAAGCAGAAGTAGATTCTTTGTGTTCTTATTTCTTCCGAATACATCCCACCAGCCTGAAATAAAACCAGATTTTTTCTCAGTTTGCAGACTGACAAATAAGCATGTGTTTAATAGCTGCCTTGTAAAGATTGATGGTGTGGTTTTTACTGTATTGACATGTGCTGTTGCTATGGTTTCTTAAATGGAATAAAGCGAGTGCGGTTAATTACATCATAGATAATTATGTATGCACATCGTTAGAGCTCATAAGAACCTATAATTGCTGACTGATAACTTGGACATTAGTATTTCAAAGTTCCTTCAATGTTTTAAGACCTAAAAACTTCACCTGCAAACATTTATTAGCTGATTAACAAAAAATTCTGTTAGAGTTTTTTTTTGTCAAAACCGAACCTGTTATATCTTTTGCACTAGTATGAACTCAATTTTAAAGAATAGGGGACATTGTTAAAATATCAACTGTAATTACAGAGCGCTCCACATTTATTGCCACTCTAAGTTGATGACCGTTGTGGAAACGTTTCATTAGTAATAGATGACTTCAAGTGTTCCTGCAGTAAATTTATGATGTGACACAGATTTTAATTTCTCTTAGTCATTCTACAAAATGGGAAAATTAAGGGAGCCTGCTAAGTAAAGCAAATGTGTGTTGGGGTCAGAAACTTATTACGACTTCACGAAGGACGATTTGTAGACAATTGATCAGTTTACTAACATTTTTTTTTATTTTAAAGCAACATTTTAATTTTGTTTTATACTGAGTTAAAAAATACAGTTTGATTGCAACTCGTTAAAATGGAAAAGATGAGAGCATGCCATTCAACTGAGGAAGATTTATGTTAGCAAGAAAACCTGCTTCTATCTAATCTATTTACACTTTAACAAAACAGCAAACAGAAAAACGCAACATTTAATTAACCTCAATAAGTCAGATATGACAACAAGAAAATAGCTTGAAGTCAAACCAATAAATAAAAAGTTTTAGTATTAGCACAACACTCAGGAGGAGGACGTCAGATGTCACGGTCTGACAGCAGGGAAGCTGGCAGTTGTCCCATCAGACCGTCACTTCCACAAGAAAAAACTAGCAAAAGTGCTAGTGCGTCCCCGCCGCACAAAGTAAAAAGCTTGCCTGATCCAATTGACTCTATCTCTTGATGCTGTGTTTAAACAGCTGTAATTGTAAGCAGTGTGAGTCTATCCTACAACGTTTTTTTTACAAGTTGTGAGTAACTTTAGAGTGCCAATTCATAAAGACCAATTCATTCATCAGATAAATTCATCAAATAAAAGTATTCATAAAGTCAGCTATAATGTCATCATTTTAGAGGTTGTTGCTCCACAGAGTCTGTCTGCCAAGCGGCAGTAAAAACTTTATTCGTTTCATGGTCAGTTGCTTGCAGGACTCGGAGTTTGGTTTGATGAGTTGACTAACTTAAGATACATAATCATTACTCTCCACTGCTCAGGAAGTGTTTCTGTTTTTTTCTGCGAGTTACCGACTTTCCTTGATTTTTCTCTCAGTCAGGAGTCGGACAAAACAGATGTTTTGTCAGAGCAAAACATCTTGACTTGTTTAAAATGGAAGTAGACATTTAAAACTAAATCGTTGGGCTTTTATGATGGATGATTTTAAGATAACCCAAGTGGCAAAGCTTCGACCCAAACATGGATGGTGTGTGATAATCCATCCAAATAGGGACTTTCATATGTTCTTCCATAGTCTACTGGGGGTGCAGCTCGTTGGGGGTTGTTATCGCACTGTCGCCCACAAAGGTGTTTCACATTTGCTTTGATGCGTGGCTGCATGAGACACAGCAACAGACATCCAGGTTAAATTAACTTCTTTTACAAGCCACTGTTATGTAAGAAAACCATGCATCCTCACCATGCTCTTC